AACAATATGAACTTATTTGTTTTTGTGTTTTATGTTTTAAATAAAATGTTATTTAAAATATAAAAACATTTGTTTTTAGTTTGTTTCAGATTTAAAACTTGTTACCAAACAAAGTTTTTTACTTTAATATAAATTATATCAACAAAAGTAATTGCGATTACATTTTATTTTGATTTTATTTTTGATTTGACCAAAATTGTATAGCTTGAAAAAAGGTGCAGAAAAAACGGCTGGATCTAAAAGATCCACCGAGGTAAAATTTATACTTTTTTACCAAAATGAAAAATTTCATGGTAAAATAATTTTACGTCAACCTTAATTCCCACAATCTTAATTACTCATCCTTCTATATATCATTTATTTGGTTGTTTTTCAAAACTTCCAAATTCATTTTAAAACCATCTCAAAAGACTATTCTTGAGAAATGAGTGTTTTTCGGCGAGAATTATTGACCAATTTGAAGTAAGAAAAATTAATTTGGTAATACATACTGATTTGAAAGTCTCATATCTAAACAATTATTAATATCACATGTGTTATTTGAAAACTTTTTGAATTCATAAGAGAGTCGTAAAATAATATGATTCTCTGTGTTAGTTGCTTTAAGACTTTTGATAAATACATAAACAAACTCATAAAATACAGTATGTTTTCGTTTATGTTCATAAAACCCTTTGAATTATAAACTTTTTAAATTGGTTAATTTATAGATAATTTCATTAAAAAATTAACAAAAGAAAATTTACAATTAACTTAATGATATAATACTATATTTGTTTTATTTCGACTGTTCAAATTGAAATCACTCAGATTGACCAATTGATATTTTCCCAGGATTATTGCAAAGAAGTCAATTTGACCCCGCGATAATTATAAATCTCGATACCATGCTTATTTGTCAAATTAGATTTTTCAGTCAATGTTGCATTATGTCTCAGCTTTTTAACACTTTCTTTCTTTACAATTCATTTGTCAAACTGTGCTCAAAACTTGCCATACACAACTTAATATCTTCTTCAGGGGTAATCATCAGTCTTTCTACAACTTTTTTAACCACTTCACATACCACCTTTATATGTTTGGTTTATATTGGGACTAACCCACAAGCGATGAATGATGATATAATATTTTTGGTTGAAGTTAATTGTTCCCATAAGTTGGTAATAGTGAGAATCTGGATTGCATTATATGATAATTCGGAGTAATCTTCTCCTATAAAAGCACAATCCATTGAACACACATGTTTTTGGATTCCAAAAATACCGACATCTAACATCTGAAGAAGGTGGGAAGTGTGCGCTGGTATTAGAAGAACTCGAATGTATTTTTAGTCGAAATTTTAATTGCAGATAGACTCATATATGACCCATACCCATCCATGATAAGTGCATCTTTGCCATGATAATTTAGTCTCTTTCTTTTCTTTTCTACTAATGGTAAAAACACGCAATTGAGTCATTTAACAAACAACACTTTAGTCATAAACGATTTGTTTGCAAACTTCAGACATACTCTATCTTTAGTGATTCCATTAACAATCAATTTTTCTCCACGGACATCGTGGGTACAATAAAAATAATGGAAGCGAAGATCCATTCATACTTATTTTACCTAACATTGTTTGTCTTTTTCCTTCCCTTGAAACCAGATCTTTAACATCAGTGACTCCTTCCCTTGCAGATATGATAACAACACGATCCATTTGATCAACCTATTTTTGAAATCCCGACTCGTCACAATTAATAATAAAAGATGTGGGAATACCAGTCAATTCTTAATCCAGTATTTCAAAATAAACATTAATTTAATCCATATCAACAGCCACCCTTTCTTCTTACATTGGTTGGCCCTTTGTTGTCTGAATTCTGTTCTTTTTTGTGACGAAACTATACAAACTCTTTGCGTTGACATATTCTTGTTTAATTCGTTAATTATGAAAGACATCAAAACACAATAATTAACATGATAATAACTTTATTCTTTTCGCTTTACAAATTCTGCAATCAATGTTGACTTTGATTCATTAAACAATGACCCTCTTCTCGACTAACCACTGTGTTCGCTTAATAAAATGCTTTGCCTTTTTCAGACTTCTTTTGACAAATTATTTGTCAAACTCGAGTAAAATTCATCATTTTGAAACCTGGCTTCTTCGTTAAATATTCTTTACATTTAAACAGTTGTACTCTTTTATTGCGAGCATTTCTATTTCTTGCCCAAACAAGAAATCTTGATAACGTATCAGATAAGTTATCATAACAATCTTATTTGTTAATTTTAACAAGGCAATCCATCAGTCCATCACAATCAAATTCACGGTCAGGTAAACACGGTACAATCTGAGTATCTCTATAAAAATTCGTGTCTAGTTCTTCCATTGTAAGAGTTGATTCTTCATATAGGTGTATGCAATTATTCATACTGACTTCTTCGTCTTCTTCAACGTTATCAACAACGTTGATGATATTTATAACATCATCATTGTTAACAACTACATATGGAATATGTTGTGTTTGAAATGAGACTACTTGAATGGGATTTAACACAACGCATTCACCAGGAATTGGACATTTCAACCCTTTTAGTTTATTATACAGTTGACTAATCATTGGTGTTTTTGGTCATAGCTCTTTAAAAATAAGAGACAATATACAATGTGTTTATTGATTTCTTTGATATCAAGAAGATTGCAATGTGCTTTTTTACTGCTTCAAATAGTTCTTCAAAACAAATAACTTGACTTTTGAAGTACTCTAATGTTTCATTGATTTAAGTAGTGGCTTAATTTTGGAGATTGTTATAGTTGTATATACTTCTATTAATAAAAGCATATAACTGCATGTTGAGTTGAGTAACCATTTCTTAAATCTTGAGTAATGTGTCTATATTGACTTCTAAATTATAAATTGGTCGTAGAACTCTGTCGTAGTTAATACGAATTGAATCGTTTAATCTCCACGTTTATTACCAGTATTCTGGTAATAAAAAACCAAGAAAACTTATTTGTTGTTTTAAGTTTAATTAATTAAATAATTTCTTTCCGTTATAAAACTTTGTTTTTTTATTTGTTTGTTTTTTTGTTTATTAAACTTATTTTTCACTATTATAGTCGATACTTTATCGGATTGGACTTCTATCGGATTGGTATGCTATCGGATTTGGTTTTATATCCAATCAAAACTTGTTCCAATCCGATTTTATAAATATAAAACCCGTATAATTAGTACTTAATAGCGTAATACAATCTTATTTTCTTTTTTACTTTTTTGGTTTTGTGAATAAAAAAATCTAACTTAATAGTATTGAAATCAAGTATTTGGCAATCTATATAAACAAGTAATTTTTTGGTGATAAATGCATTCAATTTGTCAAAATCGTAAAACCAAAATTATAACAATAAAATATAATAATTACAAAGAACAGATTTATTATAATAATAATATAAAACTTGGTTAACAACTTAGTGTTCACTAATAAGTTGAACACAAGTTTTTATTAAAATCATTGCAATTATTACATATTACAAAATAAGCATTTAAACCACAATTATATCTATTCGCAATTTCTAATATAGTCAGTCTTTTAACGTCATCTGGTGGACATAAAATAGCTTTAATTTTGTCAAAACATTAAGCATTAAGTAAAAAGTGAAAAAAAACCAAAACGATTGAGATGGATTTTATAGACGGCTTCCCAAAATATGCCAATCTTTATGTTTAAAAAGGTACCAGATAACGTTTAAAGACAGACTGTATCTGTTTTTTATCTGCTTAATATCGAGAATTTTTTTGTTTTAAGATATTAAGTAGTGTAATAGATACCACAATAATAAATCCATCATGTTGTTTATGTGTTATTAACATACAAATTAAAATATGAATAATGACAAATAAATTCATATGTTTACACGTGTCTCTTATTATTGTTCTGTTAAAATATTCATTTTACGTTTTTAAATTATGTTTTTGTCAAAAGAAATAAATAATGCCAAAAAATATAGAAATTAAAAATAAAATTTTCTTTTTATTCTCCAATCCTTTGGAGAAACCATTTTCCCATCATTCCAATCCGATAGAGTATCGACTGTATATTAAAAAATTAATCATTAATTTTTTTTCTCAATTGAAAAGGTTGATAAAATAATTTAAGAAAAAATAGATTTTTTCCTATTTCCTTTAAAATTAAATAATAAATGGTTAACAAAAAAAAAACGATTTTGTCTATGATTTAACTTTTTGCAAATTTATTTTGTAAATCTAAAAATATAAGACTGAAAGAATTACGTTTGAAGAAAAGACAACGTTGTTTGAATGGCTCTAATTAAAATTTGATCAGTTAGAATATCAACAACAGTTATTGCATTGATTCTTTCGCCCATATCTTGTGCCCAACACTTTTGGATGATATCAAAAAAATTTTGAGGCATGTTTTCTGTCTTTTCAACTCGGTTGCCGTTAACAACAAACTCTGCTATTTTCCATGGAAATCTAAACAGCTGTTTTGTATATGCCTGACACCACCCAACACATTCATACATTGTCACTCCAAAAGAGTATATATCTGCCGTTTTCTTATATTTGTCCTTTTTAAGTATTTCAAGTGCCATAAAATTTGTTGTTCCAATACCTTTTGTGAATGTCATGTTTGTAATTAACATGTTCACATTTCTTGCACTTCAAAAATCAGTCAATTTGGCATTTACCATGTCATCAATATTCAATGAAACGACTAATATGTTGTCCGGTTTGATGCCTCTGTGTCATATCCCATTCTCATGTAAATACATGATACCTTCGTTCACACTTGGATGTGGTTCATACGGAAGAAATTCAGTCAGTGCCAATGTCACATACCTTGTGAAAGGAAAAACAATCTCCAGTGGTTCAGAGTCCCACCAAAAATCTTCTTCGAGCCACACTCTTTTAGCACATACTTGAAGGAACTCAAGGAGTGCTAAAAGATATCCATCGTCTCAGATAGAATGATGTACAAGCTTGGCTATGTTGACAGAGTGATGGACGTCTTGAAGAGAAGACAAAATGACGTTGAAATTGAAATCTTCATAGATGTCGAACAGGATCCTCTATTCAAACAGTCAAAAAGGGACTTGCTGTTATAAACACATTTGGTCCAGACAACATCATTGCCATTGGTGGTGGAAGTGCAATGGATGCGGCTAAGATCATATGGCTGTTATATGAACACCCCGAAGCTGATTTCTTCAACATAAAGCAAAAGTTCTTGGACTTGAGAAAGAGAGCATTCAAATTCCCAACAATGGGCAAGAAGGCAAGACTCATTTGCATCCCAACTACATCAGGAACTGGTTCTGAAGTCACTCCATTTGTTGTCATCTCGGACACTGGCAAGAAGTATCCATTTGCGACTTACTCATTGACTCCATCGGTTGCTATCATCGACCCAATGTTCTGTGTCTCATTAACAAAGAGAGTTATAGCGGACTGTGGTATCGATGTGTTGGTTCATGCAATTGAGGCTTATGTCTCAGTTATGGCAAATGAATACACAGACGGTCTTGCTAAAGAAGCAGTCAAATTAGCCTTCGACAACTTGGTCAAGTCATACAATGGGGATTTGATCGCACGAGAGAAGATGCACAACGCAGCTACCATTGCTTTTTCTTCCGCGTTCTTTGGGATTGCTCACTCAACGACTCACAAAGTTGGAGCTGTTTTCCATGTTCCAAATGGTAAATGTGTTGCAGTCTTATTGCCACGTGTTATTCGATACAACTGTGTTGTCCCAAGAAAGTTGGTGATGTGGCTAAAGTACAGCATTTATGTTGCAGACCAGAGATATCAACAACTTGCACAACTAATTGGGTTGAAAGCCGAGACTGCGGCTGAGGGTGTTGAATTGTTTGCCAAAGCTTGTGAGAAGTTGTTGAAAGACACCGAGACAATTACTGGATTCAAGCAGGCTGGTATTGCTGAAGATGTTTGGATGTCACACATTAAAGAAATGGCACTTCTCGCTTTCGGGGATCAGTGCTCACCATGCAACCAAGAATTCCAATCGAGAAACTCGATAAAAAGGTTTATTATTTAATTCCTTAACTCGAATAGCTTTTAATTGTTCTTTTTACTATAATATTAAATCCTATAAATAGTAAAAATATAGTAAAAATATATAATAATAAATAATAATAAATAATAATAAATAATTTAGAAATTTGTAATTGTTTTAATAAATTATTATATTTTTTTAATTGATTTAATTAATTTAATTAAACCACAATTTTTGGAAAGAAAAAAAGATAAAATACATTTTATATAAATTATTAATAGTTTTTTGGTTGTTCTATAAAAATAAGATAATTGATAATTATAAGAAATTTGTTTTTTGAAAAAATAGTCTTGGTAATTATATTATGGTTTATTTTACATACTTTATAATTTATATGACGTTTAAAAAATTAAAATAGTAATAACAAAAAAAATTATAATGAAACTATTCAAATTATTATCATAAAATAGAAGAGAAAGAATATTGAGACTTCCTTAAAATGAGTCCAAGTATTGTCGAATATTTATTACCGTTGTTTCAATAGGCGGTCTTTCCTGGGGCTCCTGCGCCCAGCAACATTCGATTATGTCGAAGAGATTTGGGGGGATATTTGCGATGTTTTGCAGTCGTTTTCCGCCAGACACGAAATCTGCAATTGACCATACAAACTTGAAGTCTTCTTTCTTGTATGCCTCTTCCCATCCAAAGCACTCGTACATTGTGATTGCAAATGAATAGACATCGGCTGCCTTCTTGTATGGACTTTTCTCCAACACTTCGGGTGCCATGAATTTTGGTGTACCAATACCCTTCGTGAAAGTCATGTTAGTCATCATAGCATTGTAATTTCGCGATGACCCAAAATCAGTCAGTTTAGCACTCACATTGTCTTTCAGATTAATTGAAAACACCAAGAAGTTGTCAGGCTTGATGTCTCTGTGTAAAATGCCATTGCTGTGTAAATACTCCAACCCCTTAGCTGCGTCGTATATGATTTTAACACGTACACTTAAAACAACTTCTTCCGCCTTTTTATGTTTCATCAAGTCTTTTAAACTTCCATATTGTGCAAATTCGGTGACCATACATATCTTGTTTGGTATAAACACGGCGCCATAGAAGTGGACAACATAGTCACTTCTGAACTTGTCCAACATCGAAACTTCCTTCTTAAATTCCTCCATCGAAGTGTTGTTGTTCATGTTTTTCATCTTCTTGATAGCAACTTTGTTGCCTCTGTATTTCCCAAGTAACACAACACCAAACGAGCCTTCACCAAGTTGTTTCTCTTCAATCAACTCGTCTGGGTCCAAACGCGTTGACATCACCGTCATTCCCATGAGTGGAATCAACACTTCAGATGTTTGTCCTTTTGCCATGTTGACAGACGAGAGCACCATCTTGTCGTCTATTTTGCACGAACAAAGTGGTGACAACAAGACTTCAAATTCAATTGCTTTTCCTCTTGGAATCGTCATGATTTTTGGCTCTGTTTTTATTTCGTACTTGTCCGAAGAGCCTTTCAGTGTGAATTGCACTTTGATTGAGTTTTTGCCGGCGTTTCCAACACAAATCAACTCGCGGCTTTCAGTTGCAACAGGAATCTGATTCTCCGCGTTGTCTCCTTCAAACAGAATTTCTGTTTTGTTCAAGACGACGTCGGAATTTGATGTTGAAATGAATTGGACATTTGAAAGTGCCATTTCAAAGAGACAGAACTTCTCACGCGTCTTTTCGATCTTCTGGTGGTTGAGGTATTTGATGACCAAAACTATGACGGCGACTATGACGAGTATGATGATAACAACAACTACGATGACAATGAGAAGTATCACCCACCACACGGCTTGTGTGATGCATGAAGTGTTGTCTGAGTTTGTGGTGTGCCAGAAAGAACACTTTGAACACTTTGAGTTGGTCACTTCCACACAGTTCGCAACTTCACTTTTTGCAGAACAATTTTTGTTTATTAAAATGAAATTATCTTCACATGACATGCAGTCCGTGTTGGAGTAACATTTGTTGCAATTGGGAATTGCAGAGGAACACGACGAGCAATACTGGTTATCATAATAATAACCAATTGAACACGTCACACACCCAGATGAACTTGTCACGTTGCAATTTGTCAAGTTTTTGTATGGAATGCATTGGGTGTGGTCGCTGAGTAAAAAGTAGTCTACATTGCAGAGCAAACACATCGCGTCGTTGGTGCATTTATTACACCCATCAACACAAGACTCACACAGAGATGTTTTTGGATTTCTGAAATAGCCATCTTCACACACAACACACGTGGACGTCCCTTGCAAGTAGTTTTTGCAGTGGAATTTGTCAGAGATTTCTTCGCAATAAGTCCCGTTAAAGACGTGTTTTGAGTCGCATTGGAGACACGTGTTTGAGTCAGAACAGAGAACGCAGAAGTCTTGACACGATGGACATACACCATTTTCAAGATAATGTCCTGGTGAGCACCTGATACATCGATCGTTTGCTTTGCTCATTTGGTCGCAATTGTCCGTTGTTCCTTCTGAGACGCAACTGCGTGTTCCATCAAGGTGAAGTCCCTCAGCACAAGTGAAACAATTTCCACTCTTTGAAGAAGTCAGACAGTTCTTTGGATTGGCTATACACTTCCCATTTGAGTTAATATAATTTGTTGCAACTGAACAGTACGAGCAATGAACATCTGTCGACGACGA